ATATGATAAAAATATTTATTCATTATAAATTTTAGTTTTAATAAAAATATAATTTTATATTTTAAAATATCATTTATTATAAATTTTAGTGGTATAAAATAAAAATACTAAGACTTTAGATTGAAATTTTTTTTTATATCATACTAGATTCAAATTTTAAAATATACCAATTAGATGAGTTTAGAAAATCGAAATAATTCGATCAAATAAGTTTTCCTTTTAAAATTGATCTAATCCGATGTAAATAATCCTGCAGTCCTACTTTAAAACAAACATAATCTTATCTTTAAAAAAATAATAAAAGGAAAATAAAAGAATACTCCCGTTTTTATTTGTTAATATTTGAAGCGGAAAATGAAAATATAATTATAACTATTTAAATTGTTTGAACATTTATGTATTTTTCTTAATATAAAAATGTGGGCTTTCCACTATGTTTTATAGGAGAACGCGCCGTTGAATTCTTATCACATTTGACACACGTCATACGTATCAACTACTCTTAAAATGTTGAACACATGATAGTTGAAAACACATGGTTGATTTCTATCGTCAAAATCTCTGATTTAGTAAACATTGTAAGAATAATATGACTAAAAAATATATATATAAACATTGTAACAATAATATGACTAACAATTTAAAAAAATATATATCTAGAAAGAAGTATTCCCACGAAGAAACTTCAAGTTTTATTAATTAATTAAATATATTTAAAGTCTTTGTAAATACAATGATTTTATTTTTAGATTTTATAATATTCTATTTTATTATTTTATTTTATGTTTTTTTTTTACTCTCTCTCAACTTATATATAAATAAATAATAATAATTAAATTTTTTTAACTTAAATATTAATAAATTTTAATTAAGTCAACTTTATTTAATATTTTTAATTCAAAAGTACTCGTGAGACAATAAATAAGAGTATTACAATTAATGTGATTAAAAATATATTAACAAATGTAGTAAATATTTTATATGAAATTGTGAAAATTAAATATATTTAGCTATCTTTTTAATTTGTGTAAAATTACTATTGATGATATGTTGAGTTTGTACTATAAACTAGCTAGATGTTGTTTAGGTTGCTTCTATTATATAAGTTGTACATGTGTATTGTTGTTACATTGATTCTTTTAAGAGCTTATCCTTTCTTTTCATTGCTGTTGGACTACAAATTATATTTATTATGGAGTAAGATATGATTAACTTGGCAGCTTGAATGTTGGTAAATGGTCATATTGGAGGTGACCTATTTTGTATACATTGCTCTAACGTAGTATTCATTATATTGAGATGTTGACTGATGATAAGTTTGCTTTGTTTATAGCTTTGTATATTATATGTATATTGTATATGTGTATAGGATTTGTATGTAATTCCTTGTGAGGTTTTATATTTTCAATCGCTTTAACATGAATTATTTGAAGTTTTTGCACTCTACACACACAACACACACACACACATATATATATATATATATATATTTTACATGAATTTTTAAGTAATTATTATATGAAAATCCTAATATAATTAAGTAAATTATGTTTTTCGTTATATAATTATTATATTATATTGAACATAGTGATTTGTCGAATCTTCACATCCCAAAAATCATGCAACTATATATTTGAGCATAGACCAAATATCATTCTAATATTAATTCAACTCTTAAATTAAACTCCTAACTTGAGTATCAAAATATTTTTATACATATTCTACCATCAACAACTAGAGTACAAAGTGCACTATCTCTCTTGTCGTAGCACCTGCAACTTCTGATAACAACACAAAAATTAAAAGATAGAAGGAATTAAAAAAAAAATCATTGTATTTACATATATACCTAGCCTAACCTTCATTAATTATTAGACAAAACATGTTTTGTGTTAATAATTCGTTGATGAAAATATTTGCTTGTAAGTTACTATAAGAGATGTAATAAAAGATTAATTAATATGTATCAAATGCATTTAGTAGGAAAAGCCATTTGATTATTTAATATTGGTTGGCATTTCTTGGCTTTGTAGTTGCACCGATAGGTACCGTATTAGTTTACCGCCATGCAGCTTTTTCCTGACTTATCCGGAGAAGAATTTCCGATTAATTTCGAATCGAAAGAAAGTGAAAACAAAATTGTTATATAAAAATGATTAGAGTTAATAAAATAATAATAATGATAATAATATTATTATTATATTTTATCCATATATATATAATTCACGTAATATAATAAGGTAATTGATATTATATTAAAATTCTAAAATGACATTTATTTTTAAAAATTATACAATATTCCATCTGAACTAATATATAAACAAAAAAAAATTCTTTATTTTTTTAATTGAAATATAAGTAGATTTTATTTAAGTAAACTTTATTTAACACTTGATTAAAAAATATTATTAATTTAGTGGATTCTACTCGCAAATATCTAGTCTTGCAATATTAATGTTTGAGTGTTTAGTTCTTAGCATGAGAAAAATGTGTTGTACATCTAACATTGATTAAAGATAAGGTTATAACACTACTAGAAAAGTGTCATTTTCTTGCAAATTTTCCTGCAAAAAAATATTCGCAGAAATTTTTTGCGAATTTTCTTACAAAAAAATATTCGCATAAATTTTTTGCGAATTTTCCTGCAAAAAAATATTCGCAAAATTTTTTTGCGATTTTATTTGGGAAAAATAGTTTACAGATATTTCTTACAAAATTTTTTACAATTTTAATAATCATAGAAATTTTTTTCCATGGTAAAAATTTGCAGAAAATATTGTAAGAATTTTATTTTGTTTCTTGCAGATTTTCTTGCAAAAATAAATTCGTAAGTAATGTTTACTAAATGGTAGAAAAAATTTGCAGGTAACTTTTCCTGCGAATTTTCCTACAAATTTTAATCCGCAGGAAAAATAAAAAAAAATATATTTAAATTTATAAGTTTAATATTTTAAAAAAACTTCAAGTCCCACATCGATTGGAAATAAAGCAATTAAAGAGTATATAAGTTGGGGCAACACTTACCTTACAAGTTGATTTATATGGTTGAGTGTTACGTTTATAATCTACAATCTTAGAATTTAAAAGATTATGTATCACATGTTAGAGACATGGAAACAAATACTGATAGAATTTATAGTAATTTCTTTAATTTTTTTCGTAAAAAATGTTCCTGCAAAATTTCTTGCAAAAAAATTCGCAAGAAACTTTCCTGCGAATTTTCTTACGAATTTTTTTTTGCAGGAAACTTTTCTGCAATTTTTTCGCAAGAAATTTCGCAGGAAAATTTCTTGCGAATTTTAAAATTCGCAAGAAACTTTCCTGCGAATTTTCTTACGAATTTTTTTTTGCAGGAAACTTTTCTGCAATTTTTTCGCAAGAAATTTCGCAGGAAAATTTGCAGGCACAACGGTTCCTGCGAATTGTTATGAAAAATTTGCAAGAAAAGTCGCATGTAATAAGAGAAATTATAGTAGTGTAACAGTGTATATAAGTGGGTGAACAATTCTCATCGCATAAACTAATTTTGTTAGGTTGAGTTAAACTTCAAACCACTTTCTTAAAATGGTATTAGAGACTATCTAACAATTATTGTTCGACCTATCATGTTACTTGCTATTGGGCTATTATCGATCATCCATAAATGTCCAGTCCTGCAAATTTCACCTTCAAAATTTTCAATCTTTGATGTGAGTGGTATGTGTTAGAAATCCTCATTGATTGGTGATATGCCAAATTAGTGTATATATCTATGAAATAATTCTCATCTTATAAATCAATTTGGTAGAATTGAGTTAGATTTTAAACCAATTTCTTAAGATAGTAGCAGGGTCTATATTGGTGATTATTATGGACTTATCATGTCACTCGCTACTAGACCACCATTGAACAACATGTAAATGTTCAATCTTGCAAATTTGTCATTTAAGATGTTCAATTTTTAATGTGAGGACGATGTGTTGGAGATCCCACATCGATTAAAGATGAACCGTAATAATGTACATAAATAGGAAACAATCATCACCTTATAACCGATTTTTGTAAAGTTGAGTTAGACTTTTAACCTATTTTTTAAAGAAATACTTTTAAAAAATAATATACCTGAGCACTATTTACAATAAATATAATTAATAATATTTTAAAAAATGTAGTGTATATTTATTATGAAAAATCATAAAAATTAAATACATTTAATTAAATTTCTTAATTTATGTAAAACTGATTATATATATATATATATAAAAGCAAAATTGGTTTTATTTATTTATTTATGTATAAATCGAGGGGATTGCTTGTCATGGGAAGGAAGTACCGGTACCTTATTTGGACTTACTTTTCAACATATCTGCATTCTATTTTTGTCACTTAAGTTAAGATGTAAAAAAAAGTACGAAACTAGAATACATTTATAAGTTGTTGTGCGTGTTTATATATGCAACTAACTAGTTTGAAAAATAGCATTTGTGATTTGTAGGTGTCACCAACAGCAATGGAAGGGTCCCCAAACACCTGTCAGTAATGGACAACATGAATTAAGCAGAAAACTTTTAGTTGGCAAGCTAAAGCAGTGCAGTGGTCATAGATAGCCGCTTGACGTATACATCACATTTCCATACATTATATTATAAACATCCGTTGACAATTCATCATGTTTGGTGAATCTAACGCTATATAAAAAGACAGACAGCTCCAAATTTTAGTGGTGATTTAGTGCTAAGTATTTTCCATTACTTTCACATGTTATAATTCCCCTAACTCCCATGTCTAGTGAAGATTTGTTGAAATAAATGCGATGCAAGAACCCCATTTTTGTCTCGAGTTTGAATATATTTATGTATCTTTCATCTTGTGGTCCTTGTTTAGGATATTTTCTTCTTGTTGGATGGGGCAGAATTTTCACATGGATGTGTGTAATCGAGAAATTGGGCCAATAGCAGGCTTTCTCACCTTATGGTTCACTTCCAGTGGTTGAGCCTGTTGTCCCCAAAGCAAGTATATGGCCCATGCTTTAAATCCTTTTATTAATTCGCAGTTTATCTTTTTTTTTTTTTTAACAGAAATTAATTTTTATTATGTATTGTTCTGCAAAAACAGAATTCCTTTTTTAGTCAACGTGAAAAATATTATTGTCTATACTCATCTCATAATAGTTAATTATACTTATAGCTTGAATTTTTAAATTGGAAAAAGTGATCATTTTTCATTCCTCAACTATTTTAGAATTCAATTTAGTCTTTAAATTTATTTACCTATTTTTTTTAATTTTATTTTATGTCCATATTTATTTCCTAACATTCAATTATAATAAATAAAGGCTTATGTATACAACAAAAACGTGTCAGCGCAACTCATGGCAATCATGTGACAAATATATATGACATAGGTGTCATTGACACTAACTACATGGAGGTGCCATGTTACAACCTTGTAAGTGTGTCACGCGTCCAGTGTTTTCTACGTTGTTTTTAGTCCCCAGGAAAATTTGAAATTCATATTTTAGTTTCTATAAAATTGTCATTTTTTAATTTTAGTCCCTAAACATTTAATTTTTAATATTTAGTCCTTCATTCCCCCCCCCTCTCTAATATCTTTTTCATCCGCTTTCATCTCACAATATGATAACACTTTATCATTCAACTTAGCTTGAACTCATCAAAATATCTTGAACATGTCTAACTCGCATATCACTTGAACTAAAAGCCCACTTGGTCCAAAAATTTGGAATATTAACACTATTTTTAAAGCGTGACAAATTGATTACATTTATTTTAGTTACACACATGATCACTCGGAGATTCCAATTTAACGCCAAGAAATGAATCTAATAAAATACAAGGAAGAAAAACTTAGTTCACCCATAAGAAAATTGTGTTATAAACGCTAAGGTTTTATTATAAATGAAACATACACATACACTGGAAAGAATAGGAGCAACACTAGAGTTACAATATTAAAGACTAAACTCCACTGGACTACTAAGATCCTAACTCCCGATTGCATGCATTTCAAGAATCAGTTAACGCCAAAGCAAAGAACATGAATTGTTAACACGTCATATTCATTTTTCAATTCAGATAGATGCAGACTAGAGATCATCTGCCTCCCCTGTTTTGCAGAAAAAACAAAAAATAAACCTTGACAAAAGGTAGCAATTATCTAGCAACTATTCCTCATGACATTCTTTTTTCTTTTGAGAAACCTTGCTTTTTCCCTCTCCTTTTCTACACAGTAGTAACCAACCCTGTTAGTTAGAGCAACAACTTCTATTGCCCGCATTACCTGACATATTTGAGACATTTATGGTAGTTCCTTGGGGAACGCTAGAGGAAGTAGCCTCTTGTGCTGCCAGTGCTTTTTTACTTATAATGTGATATATGTCAAACAAAATGGTCTGAAAAGCCTTCTCAACATTGTATGCCTCCAATGCTGAAGTTTCTAGAAAGGACAAACCTTCCCTCTCAGCCAAACTTTGAGCATCTTCAGTGGAAACTGCTCTGAGATGATTAAGGTCAGATTTGTTACCAGCCATCATAATAACAATGTTGGAGTCTGCATGGTCCCTTAGTTCACGAAGCCACCTTTGCACATTGTCAAATGTTTGCCTCTTGGTTATGTCATACACCAACAAGGCACCAACAGCTCCTCTATAGTAGGCACTGGTGATGGCTCTGTACCTCTCTTGGCCTGCAGTGTCCCATATTTGTGCCTTTACAGTCTTCCCCTCCACCTGCATAAACATACATACACGTTTCCGAGGATTTAATTAACCCTTTTTGACGCAGGTGACACTAGAAATTCTACTAAATAGACACCAATTTGTAAGTTTGTATGCAAGCTCAAAAGTATATCTAGCAAAGAAATTTCAATTCCTTCATTTTCTTCATATAAGCAAATCATCAAACATGCAAGAGACATCATAAAAAAAAATTGCTTGCTTCATCTCTTGATATTTCTCAAATCACATGCATATCACTCTAATCATACAAAAGATGATCTTGTTTTAATTCTCTGAGGGAAATTCTGACATATGATAAGTTATATACTTCCATTTCTATTTTTTTCTTTCATAAAATCTTAGATGATCTTATACCAGCATGGCAGTTGTCCCATCTCTTTTTCAAAGATGCTAGTGTATAGGATTAATTGCAAACATTTATCAATGGAAAAAAATTTGAAATGATTTGCAATTCTTCTACCTTCCAGTTTGCTTTCTATTCAAATCAAATGTGTGATTATTGTTAAAATATGAACTCCGCCCACAAGCTTAAATTTCATAATCATAGCCTCCTTGATCAAGTGGCCCAAGAGTTGGATTCTTGTCACCCATTCCTCCAATTACAAATTAAAAATCAGCACATGATAAAATGTAATAAAAATGTTCATGAATTTTAGCCCAATAACAATTGATTGTTAGCATAATAGAGAGAGGAAGTTATCCTAACAAAGAAAGACCCGTTTATTGATGACAAAGTTTGTGACATGTACATGATTTTACTGGATTAATGCTCACTTGAATATACAAGAATTTCTCATCTAATAGACTCCCAAACATCCATTCCGACACTAAAAATCAATAATTTTCTGAGAACTTGTATGAAAAAGCATCCCTGCTCTTAGAATATACTACCAATTTAACTCTTTTTTTTTTTTTTTATTTATGAGAAAGAGAAACCAATTCAATTTAAAACACAACAGATTCAATAAAATTTAAACCATTATCCTAACATTACACAATAATTTTCCATTCTAGTCAAGAACCATTCCTTCATTAAAGTCTTCCGAAATCAATCAAAGAGTGTACAAAGCAACAAAAAGACAGTTAACATCATTCAAAGAAAATGAAGAATTAAAAAATAGATTGTAAAAATTACGAACCTGCAATGTTCTGGTAGCGAATTCAACCCCAATGGTAGACTTAGATTCCAAGCAGAACTCGTTTCGCGTGAATCTGGAGAGGATATTGGACTTTCCAACGCCGGAGTCACCGATCAATACGACCTTGAAGAGGTAGTCGTATTCATGGTCGACTTTGTACGCCATGCAATGCAAAATGATAATGAAAGTGGGTGTGGGATTGAAGATTGAAACTTTGGTGCGCAAGAGTGAGGAACAAGGAACAGGGTAGGAGAGAGAGGGAGAGAAGGAAGGGTAGGGCACATTGCAAGGCCAACAAACTAAATTAACGGACCACTTTGAACGGTCATCGTCTTTCATGTGGGATTCCAACGCCCGCCAATATCGCTACGTGTTTTTCCTTTTATTATTATTATTATTATTATTATTATTATTATTATTATTATTATTCAAAAATAACTCCTATATACCCCAAAATCTCTATATTCCCTATGTAAAAAGAAAAAAAAAATATTTAATAAAAAAGTTGAAATGAAAAAATTCAATGGCTATATGGGCCAAGGAATGAAGGTTTAAAAGAAGAGGCCCAAAGCTGGGGCATGAGTTCCAAATTCATTTACACTCACTGAAACATTGTTGAGATTGTTCTTCCGTAATATCCTGGCCACTACCATGATTAATAATAAGGTTACACCCTAATATTTCCTTTTCTGTTTAGGATCCTATAAAATTTGTTACTAGTTTCTTTCAGGAGGCTAATGTGGAAAAAAGGAAAAACAGTCCTTAACGAGACTTGATAGGTCCCTGATGATATATTATTTGCTTCTCCTCCATTGAAACCCGTGGCTTTTGTTTGCCTTCTTTAATGCTATCTTAAGTAATGTTAGTTTAGGTACTGCTGGCTAATTAAGTACACAGGGAAAAAATGGTCCATGTCCTTATGTAAGCTCTTCACAACTTAAAGCAATAATGTTTTCTTTTCATTGCTGCTATTCTGAACCTTTGTCTTTTGTATAATTCCTTACATGTAACACCCAAATTTTCTTATAAAATATATTTTATTATTAATTATTATATGTCGGTAAAATCAATTATGTTGGTTTTAATAGTTATTTTAATTATTTTATATGAATATATTTATATATTATAAGGTTTATAGTTAGAATAATGTTTATGTTATTATTATTATTATTATTATTATTATTATTATTATTATTATTATTATTAAAGGGATGAGAATTTGTAACTGTTATAAGATGTTTTAATTAGAGGGTCAAAGAAAGATTAAGTTTTAAAAGAACAATTTTCTCTTAATCAATTTTACGCTTCTTTCATTTCATGTACGCACATTTTTTTTTTGCTTAAAACTAAGAGAACCAGAAGAAGTAGGGGATCACCTCAGTGTCGCTCATCCATCGTCTAGTGCTTATCAAGGTAAGAAGGGAATGAAAAATATTGCTCTGAGGGTGGAGATGTATATTAGGTAATAAGATTGACCCCTAATCCTTTCTCCTTGTATGTTCTGATTGATGTAATTAATATGTATGTCTTGGTAATTGCATATTTTGGTATTCCTATGGATTCTTATGGAAAATCCTAAAGAAATGCATTAGTGGTTGTATGAGAAGAGATGACCTAAGTATGTAATTGTATACATAAATTATATTATTTAAAATGTTTATTAAATGATATAAAACACTTTTACCCATTAGGATGTGAAATTAGGATTTGTTGGTGGGTTTTAGTGAGAATCCTAAGGGAGGTAATGATTATAGTATGAGTAGTTAATATAAGCATGTGAGTATGTGCAATTGTTGCTTTTTAAAGTGTAATATGATAATTTTAAGTGTTTCACCAATTGTGTGAATAATTGATGATTTGGAGATGAAAATATGAAAATTGTAGGTTATAGAGTTTCTGATCGTAGAAATGATGCTAAGCATCATAGTGACAAAGAGCCATAATTGTTGTCTGTGACCCTTAAGCTGAGCATGACTCAAGCTGATTGCGACTTAGGTTGAGCGTGAGTTTCACGATGAACATAGCTCAACCAGAGAGTTAGGGTTATTCTCTGTAAGCCCTATATTAAGCACCTGTTGAATGCTAATTGTCTAGTTGTGTTTCCTTCTTTGTTCAATGAATCCTACTAGTATGATGTGAATCTTATACTACTTCTCTCTTGAGATCTATGAATGGTAGTGATGTGATTTCTTGTGTTGTTCATTGTGAACTTTTAATGAATACAATTGTATTGTTAATTGCTATATTGAGAATAGTTGATGATTATACAATATGAGATAAATTGATATAGATGAAATGACATGATGAAATGATATATATATGGCAATAAGATATGATAATGCATAAAGTCTTGGTTGATATGCATTATATGCATAAATGTTTTTAAGAATACGATATGAAATATACTGTTAGGGAAACCCCCTTGTGTGAAAGTTTGAGGATCAATCCTTAGGGATAGTTTGGTTTAGAAGTTTCAATCTTATCCATTGTGTGTATAAGATGTATCTTGTGTGACTCAGTCATCATCTCGACTAGACCGTAATAGTATGTCCTTCTAATGAAAGCATGTTGAGGGTGTAACTCAACATGTACTCCTAGACTGCTCTATATGTGTTGTTAGTGACAATGCCCCATGTGATATTTTTATTGGTGTCACATGCATGATAATATATAGTTCATGTCTATTGCATATGCATCCTATTGTTATGTGGTATTTAATTATAATCTATGAATGAAATATGTTGTTGTTGTTGTTATTATTATTATTATTAATGTGTTATGTTACTTATATATCTTGTTTGTGTTTGGTTATCTAGTTGCATTCCTACACCGTGGGATATAGTGAGATATTTCTCTCTCTCTCTCTCTCTTTTATTTTATATTATTTTCCTTTAATTGTTATGCAAGTGATCATCAACATAAGACTAAGAATGTTGGTAATGAGAATTAGATTTCAGTGTTGGATTTTACTTTGATAAAACATGTGATATCGGACTGTAACTAAGACTAGGTTAAGATGTTTTTTCTATTTATTTATTTTAGAGACATTAATTTTATTTCCTTAATTTCAGTTGGTTAGAGTAGTTTGTTTAAGTTTTCAATGTGTTATTTTTTACTTAGACACACTTTGGTTTTATTTATAAAGAGCATGTTATGCATTTTTATATTTATTTATATGTTGTGACATGGGAATAGAGTTTAATAAGATTATCTAACATTTCTTAGTATGTCTTGTAAGATATATGTGATTATTTAACATATCCTAACATATATCTTGTAAGATATATGGTATATTTGTACAAATATAAACAATACAACACGTTTCTTCTTTTCCAAAATTAAAGTTCTTTACGGTGTTACATAAGATGAATAAATAACTTGGTATGTTATGCTTCTCATATTCGCTTCTGCATTTTCTATTTATGCTCCTTTGCTTTAAGTTCAACAGTAAATTGCACCAATAATCGACTAGCTAGCCATGTGAATTAGTACAGTCATGCCATGCATCTATAATAGAAGACAAAGGTCATAATATTGTTCGTATAGGAGACAAGGGGGAACATTACAAAATTTCTATCCATAAATTGTATTAATTGAATTCTAGTTCTCTTTATTCCATATCCTATACACCGCACAATTGGAACTAACTTGTGCAAAATAGACCAGACATGTGCTTCATATTTACGGCTTCATATAATTTCAAAACTTATCAATACAATCTCCCAACCCCAATAAATAGATCAGACATGTGCATCATCTACGTACAGTAGTCAAAGTCTTAGACATTGAAACTTTCTGTATTAGACATTGTATATGTCACGCTATGTGTATAAGAGTTTATGTTAGTGTTGTCCGTTAAGCTTTAATTTTTATAAACTTGACACTCATATGCTCAATCCTTTATATGAATGAGGAGGCACGTTGAAGATCTATGTTAACTTAGTGATGTAGCTGAAGTATATATAATAATTAAAGGATAACACTTACAGCACAATAAGTGCTTTTGGTATTGTTTTTTATTTTTTATTTTTTATTATTTTTTATTATTTATAATAAAAATGGATTTTCACTTAAATAATATACATAATAAAAAGTTTCATTAAATGCAACATATATTATCAAAATAAAACTTAAATTATTATTAAAAAAAAATACGAACAGTACCATAAGGACTTATAGTTTTGTCCATAGTAAAATAGCCACAAATTAATTCAAATTCTATGAAGATCACCCTTTGCAGTGGCGAATAGCTCTCACTTTGTTGATATGGTTACTCGATAACATTTCTAACCTTTAAAAATAACAAACAAATTAAATTGCTCCCATAATTTTGAATCCCAATATAGCAGTTATTGATGCAACTTGACAGAGTTAAGTTTCCATACGATGTTAAATTGTAGCAGCACATGTTCTGAAAAATTCTTAGAGAGAGTTCCCCACTCCTACATCTTTAGGTGATAATGTTGTCCTTCTCACTCCAAAAAATGCAGCCTCAAATTTATAGTAAAAGGAATAATATCTTGTTTCTGATATCATCTTTGGCTGCAAGTTTAAAGTCTAATATGATTCTCAGGGCTATAATAATCTGGAAAGCTGTTTTGGTAGGTCCTGTACAATGTGTATAGATTAGGATTAGTTAGCTTATAATGGTTCTTTTGGAAGACATAATTGCACAAATATGCTTCTGTCAGGAATATATACTTTCAAATTAATGCAAACAAGTACACATATTTCTGGGGAAGTCACTGTGACATTGTTTGATTCCCAAACAAGATCATCTTCCTAATATTAGTGTCCAAATAAGTTTTACACTGAAATCCAAAATATTTTCTTCTGTTTATGTGGTGGTTACTTGCTTTAAACTTGAAAGAAGGAAAAATGTGATTGGAAACATGTTCTAGGGCATATTATTACTATTTCTCTCTTGTGATCTATGAATGGTAGTGATATGATTTCTTATGTTGTTCATTGTGAAACTTTAATGAATAAATTGTATTGTTAATTGTTATATTAAGAATAGTTGATGATTATACGATATGAGATAAATTGATATAGTTGAAATGACATGATGAAATGATATATATGGCAATAAGATATAATAATGCATAAAGTCTTGGTTAACATGCATTATATGCATAAATATTTTTAAGAGTACGATATACAATACATTGTTAGGGAAGTCCCTTTGTGTGAAAGTTTGGGGATCAATCCTTAGGGATACTTTGGTTTAAAAGTTTTAGTCTCATCCATTCTGTGCATGAGATGTATCTTGTAACATTGTTAA